TTGCATTTGGAAGCAAACAGTTTTAAAATGAAAGGGATAGCAACAACAAGAGAGGCTGTTGATGGAATGCAACTAACACAAAATTGCAAGGCCGTTAAACGTCTCCCATAAACCAGCTTTCCAGCATTAACTCAGCGTATAAGATTGCATTTATAGCGTATTAGCCTCTCTACTTTGAGAGCTATTCCTTTTCTTTACATCGTATGCCCGAATTTTTTACAACCTGTCTGCCTCTCTTAAAGCATATGTAGACACAGCAATATAGACACTTGTTGAGTTATGGACAGAATAAGCCTATTGTACCCAATTCACTGCGGATTCAAAACTTGTTTTTGAGAATACTGTTGCAACACACTTAATGTCACGTTGGTTCATGGGCTTACTCAAAATAATTGCTACCACCTTGTTTGAAAAAAAAAAAATGCGTCTGAACTCGGGACTTGAAAACTAATCTGACCCCGCGTGTATACAACCAATTTAGTTCCAGATAAAATACTGTAAACAGTCTATATATTCGCGAAAATAAAATCATAGCCCTGAAAGAAATTGTAAATACTCTAAACAGAGAAATGTGGCCTAGAGGAAACATCCCATTAACGTCTTTTGGAGAAGTGTGATTGATCGAAAACCGTTAGGTATATTGCATGACCCGAAATAAGGGTTGGCTGGGGTTGGAGGGTGTATATAGGCAATATCTTTTACTGAAAAGTTGAGCAGTTATTGTTATGCAGTGGTAAAATAAAGTTTATCAAAGGCTTTTTAAAGTCCGTCCATAAATAAACTAACATAATAATATTAGCAATAATAAAACATTCTATCAAATGTATGACTTGACAAAGGAAAGTAGCCTATTAAAATAATCGTTATTATTTTATCTCAATGACAGGGTTTTAATAATGCATACAATAGAGTAATCTGTTTATCTCACAATTGAGTCGTTAGCAAAGAGAAAGAAATTCCTCCACCGTGCTGAGAAAAAGCATACAGTAGGCCTAATGTGCTCGATAACAAGCACTAGAATATAGTTTTAATCATGAAAACTAAAACAAAACATCAGCTAGCTTTGCATGTTGACACATTGTGCTGTTAAGTTTAAATATCGAAATAAAAAGTGGGTAAAACAATATAAGCATTTAGATAAGATTAATAAATATTGTTGGTGGATGTTTTTAGTGCAGAAAGTTATAGTTTATTTTAAACTTAATATTTATGACCGCTATGAATTCAAAACCTAACCGAAATAAATGCAAATTTCAAAAGCACAATTTGAAATTATTTTAAATGATTTTGACTGGGTATCATCACGTGACCAGATAAATGTCATTATTGTAAACAGGGACCCAACAATGTTACATCAGGACACCTGCTCAAAAAAGCAATGCACAGCATGCACAACAACAACAAAAAAACATTCAAACCTTTTTGTTTTGCTCAGTAAATGCATTTACTGTTTATTGATCCCAAAGGTTACATGCAGTCGCTTTCCAAAAGTAAAATACAAATAAAAATGAAGAGATGCCCATAGTCGTTAAAAATGCTGTTTTGGTATTAAAATGAAATCCCAATAAAAATAAACGATGTTGCCTTTTTAAAAGGATAAATGTAAATAATAGGAGTATGCGACTGAGGAGTCCTGGGTCAATTGCAATCTAAAATAATAACGATATCAAATAATGTTTATATCAACAATTAAGACGTTTATTAGGTTTTTTAAACACCTCGAGGACATTACATTCCAGAAAAATACCTCTATCAAGGCCCTCCATATCAGCTTTGCAAGTAGGTCAGCCGACAAACATCCCCAACTTTCTTTGTCCATTCCTTGTCTCATTTGTTTGTGTTTATACGCATCTCGCGATGATTTACGCTAAACGTTCACGTACAAGCGTCCTTTTGAAAGGATCCACGTTTAAGAGCCAAGGTCGACCAAGTTTGATGACATAGGGTTCAGTATAGTGTCGTGTAATGAATGGTGGTGATGCACGGAATCAACACTAGGCACTGGGATGGCGCTGGGACCAGGTGGAGGTGCGAGGCCGTGCAGGGACTGAAGCCCGGAGTTCGACGTGAGGAGCAAAGCCGGGCTCGACGAGGTGTGATCAGGAGTACCAGACGGTGTTTTGTCGTCGTCCGAGCTTCCTAAAATAGTCTTATTTCCATTCATGGAGGACGTTAATGGGTTGTGACTGTTTGTGTTCGAGTTCTCATTATTCTCCCTGTAAAAATGAAAAGGTAAAGTTAGGGTTAGAGAAAATCCGACAACCTTTTAAAAATGTCAGATTTAAACTTACTTCATTTGGTGTAAAACGTTATCTCTAAGATGCAATATAGAATTATATAATTAGTTTTGACACTTGTTTCTTCTTCTTCTTCTTCTAATAATAATAATAATAATAATAATAATAACAACAACAACAATAATAACAACATAATAATATTTAATAGCTAATTTGCACAAATAGTTATAATTATGCAACATGCTTTCTCAAACAAATCTAAAACAACTATTAATAGCCTTTATCTTAATGACAGTGGGTTATTTAGGTGAGAAATATTTTTTTTATTAAAATGTTAAAACAGTATAAATAAAAGCCAACAGGAATAAACCATCACTAACGACTTCGCGTAGACTAAACTTTAGAATATTTCCATAAAAATATATGTAACAATAATAACTGTGCACCTTTTTTTCTCTGCATCAGACATTAGTCTTATTACACATCCTAATTCTTGGCGTTATTAAATTTACATAAAAGACAAACAAATTAACTGATAAAGTTTACTTTTCCTGCGTCTACGCCATAATTATTTATATGGTTTGGAATAAATCATGTCGGTTAAAACATCGTCACAAACTGATTTATCTAAATTCTAAATCACAAGGTGTCAATTAAAGGTTCATTCATAAAGTATTAATTAAGGATAAAGTATCGGGAAACGTATGAGCTAGTTTAATGGTTTACATTGTGGTTTCAACTTGACTAGCTCGCCTGCGGGTGAAACAAGACACGTTTAAGGAGTAGCCTTTGCAACTGCACACATTCATAACAAGAATATGTTCAGATACTTTTTTACAATTCGAAGAACATTACCATTAATTAAAAGCGGATCATTTTTTCCCTCAAACTGGATTACACCAAAATACACACCACGGGCTTTAAGACTTTTCCCGTAAGCATGGGCCTGCTTTTCTCAAACAGCAGCCTACTTTTTATTGCATATTACAAATGACATGGAGAACTATTTATTACAAAAATAACGATCAACAATTACAGAGAACGGATGACATTTGTACCGACTGTGCTCATCCATCTGTGGGAACTTTAGGACTTTTTCCACACTCACCACTGACTTGATGTCTTACATTGCACGGCACGAATATATGCATATAATGCTTTCCAATTACTTTTAGACACTTAATAATATTAAACACTAATAAAGCAACAAACTAAAATTCCGTACCTCTCCTTCGCCTCCGCTGCTCGGTCGCGTTGTCGTCTGTTTTTAAACCAGTTACTGACTTGTGTCGTTGTTAGCCCAGTTGCCTCAGCTAGTTCCCTTTTCTCCCGCGGGGAAGGGTAGGGGTTATGGGTGTACCATTCCCGCAGCACGCTCCTGCTCTTTTCTTTAAAGCAGTAACTTGTCTCCTCGCCGTCCCAAATGGAGCGGGGTAGCGGAAACTTTCTTCGGACGCGGTACTTCCCAACAGCCCCAAGAGGGCGGCCCCGGAGCTTCTCAGCCTCGATATAATGCGCTTTGAGCCACAGCTGCTGCAACTTCGGATGGTTGTGCGGGGAGAACTGGTGGCTTTCGAGAATCTTATAAAGCTCTCTGAAATTCCCCCTATGAAATGCGACCACAGCCTTCGCTTTGAGCACACTCTCGTTCTTATGGAGATGTTCGCAAGCCGGTAGAGACCACAAAAAGCGGCCGAGACGTTCAATGTTTCCACCCTGCTGAAGAACCTCGCAGACGCACGCCACTTGCTCTTGCGTAAAGCCGAATGTTGGAAGCATAGACATGGTTTGTCTCAAAAATAAACGTCCCTCTTTGTACTTGTATGTCTATCTAAGCGATGACACTGACTGTCCTTAAAGAGATTTAAAGTAACCCTTGGGAGGCAAACATTTAGAAAGACTTCTTGAGTAGATGGAATCAAATCCCACCGGGTGAAGAGAGGCACAAAACTTTAGATCCGTTCAAACAAGCATAATGCACACCGTATATCCATCTATAGCAGACGAGAGAAAGTTGTTCCTCCTGCGCGAGTCTCTCGCCACCTCTTCTATGTCGTTTCAGCATAACGCACTCCCGAAGAAGGACCTCGCTCTCTTGTTTTAATAATATTATTCTAAGCTGGCAAGAAAAGCGATTATGTGAACGGTGATTGGTTGGTTATCTGACCCGGGGATGATGAGGATAAGACAATAGTTTTAGTCAAATTATTTGCCATGGTTACGCTGTCATTCAAGGTAACCTGATATGCTTTGAGGTGGCTCCTTGGGCTGGCTGACTGATTATTCCCTTCATTTAGAGCCCGCCCACCGACATCGAAATATAGCCTCGACTTTCCATGTATATTACATTTTTTACCCGGGGTTTGACAGACACTTCTAGCAACCAAAGAGCGCTGATCTGTGAGGTTGTGAGGTAGCAGAAGTTGAGCTGAGAGCACCGGAGCAAGACTGCGCACCAGGCGCTCTCCAAACCAAATGTTTGAGTGACCATAAGCAGACAATCCACCCTGGATATGCACACCTTTTCTCTCTGTAACTTGTCGATCACACCAAAACTATATTTCAAAGTTCGGAAAACCCCCAGAATCCATAAACTATGTCTCACTAATTAATAAGCAGCACTTATGAATTACCATAATGAAATGCATTTAAAGAAAGTCACGATTTACACAAACATTTTTATAAGCAAAAACTTTCAGTCTATTTTGTCCTGTTTACATTTGTTTTCAATTCAGTGGCTGTTTAATCGGGCCAGTTGTCCCGTGTTATGCATTATTTAACAGTTGTTGAAGACAAACAAGGGGGTATGTTTCTCAAAGTGCACGCGCGTGGAAGCCAGACATTATGGACTGGAGTAGAACGGGGTTGGAGGGCGTTTTTAGGTAGTATATAGCGGTTTTCAAGGATACACGCTAGATTGAACAGCGATTGAGTATTACACCACAAAGGCACTGAAAACACTGCGAGGGACGTTTGAGCAGGTAAGACAACTCATTGAAAATTATTGAAAATACTGTTTAGACACTAAATCTATGTTTGCGCATACATGTGCTACTTCGGTTGATTTGTTGTCTTGCAAGTCAATTAAGTAAAACTGTAGGTGTTTGTAAGCGACAGTTCAGAAAGGCGCATATTTGAATGATGACCTGCCATTAAGCACGTCATTATTGGCAGATCATCAGTCACAGTCTCTAGACTGAACTTTAACTCAACGTGTACAGTGGCTTAGAAACAAAGTTATTTTCACCAGGTAGACTCCTTTTACAACTGAATGATACTTGAGGCCACAAGAAAGTTCAGCAAAATCACATCTTACACGAAATAAAACTGCTGACGCTGTTGAGGCATGTCAGCCTCGATGTAAGGGAGAGAGAAAATTGCTTAGTATAAGGTCTGGTGTGTCGTTGCGCTTTGTAGATGTCCGTATACTGCTGTGGTGCCGCGAAGGCCTGTGATGTGGCTTGTTTGTGAAGAAACTTCAGAGCTTGTACAGCATACTATCCAAAAACACGTCAAAGCATGTATCGTTAGGATAATAACCCATCCCATCCATCTCATTAATTGTTTCGCGTATTATAGTCGCCCAAAGATATACTTTTTAAATACTTCCATAAGTTTTGACGAACAAATGCTAAAATAATTAATAAATTAATCAATAATTAATGTTTTAAGACATTTTGACAATACAATCTTGCGATATGATTAAGACATCACAAATTCAATAATTTAACAAGATTATTATAACTATACACAAAATAGTCAATAAAATAGCAGCAAAATAATCGTAAAATCCAACAAATATCCAAATATTTTTGTGTAAATCTTGAATTTACGCAGTGTAAATGTCTGTTTTTGATCCAAAATAAATAATGAACATTACATAAATAAAAGTAGAGCTGTTTGCACTTATCAAGGAAAGGGTTCAAATAGTTATTTAGATGTCGCATCAATTGCACTTTGCTGTGAGAAAACATTAAACCTGTTGCTTGAATATCTTTACTTGCTGTTCAGTGCTCTTTTTGATTCACAATATACCAATATCGGCTTGTTGCTGAGAGTAAATAAAAAGTTCTTGTCCCAAATTATGTACATTTACATAATCTATAGTCGTTATAGCATAGAGGCGAGCTTATTGTGTGATCGTGTGAGTTATTTTATCTATCTTCCACTTGTGACACTGTAATGAAGCTGTAACAATGCAGCGAAGCAATGGAAACGAACACTAAAAGGATTTTGGATGCTTTTGTATTGCGGGGGTAGCTATGTCAGTGACAGGCCAAATCAAGGTACGTCTCGCCTTGACACTGTTTGTAAACGGCTTGTTTCCACGGATCATTTTGATCAGAGCTTCGTAGGACCTGCGCTGCTCGTCTGCATGGTGATTATTACAATGCTGATGAATGGGGATCGCGTTTCGTCTAATAGCCGCCCCCTGTTTTGACAACCTCCCACAGCTAACCGGAGAGCGCGCAGCCGCGACCTCCACTAATTGGACTGATTATTGCAAGATGTTTTTTCCTCTCTGGAAAGCGCAGGGTGGCGGCAGTGCGCGGCTGCTCCGCGGCTTGCACCACAAGACCTGATGAGTTACATTCTTTCAGACATGTCATGTTAAGCGGGAATAGTAAGAATTAAACCCAGACGTGTGGTGTCAGCGTGCGGTTCGGTGGAAGAAAAACAAGACACCCACAGTAATTAAAAAACTGAATGCATTAAAATTCCACGCGAAATAGATAACTAATTGCATTTAATAATAAGAAAAAACACCAGTCGCAGAGGTGTGCATAGTATAAATCACACGTGCTATAACACTCATGTGTACTTTTCTAAAAACAAAGACAGCTTAAAATTGGAGATGAGGCTTTTATTTGACACAATAATGAACGGCTAAATCACCTATACATACAATGCCTGTCTTTATAAAAGTATAGAGCTATAGTTTTGATTCGAAACCCATTTTTTGTGTGTTTTTTTCCTAATGTTTACTCATTGTTAAGATACTAAGAATAGACAAAAATTATTTTGATTATTTGAATAGTCAAATATATAAATACATTTAATAACATTTAATAAATAATAAAATATATGCATTTATAAAACCAAAATAAATGAACAAATAAATAAATGAATACAAATTTGCAGCCGATTTAAATCTGCCCTTGATTTTTAGAGTTAAAGGACAAATAGCCTAACATATTTTAAAAAATATATAGGCTGTATATTGGAATAAACATTGGCATAGTTTTTTGAGGTATCCGTTTTAAGTCACAGATAAACAAAAAATGACATACACCACTGCCTAAATAAAAATAAAAACAACCCGTTAATAAACATTGTACTCGACTGGAAACGAAAATAATTTTAATGCTGTAGATAATTCCTGAACTTAGGCTGATGATGACCCATTATGACGAAAGTCGGGTAACAAGTGCGTTATTTCAAAAGCCGGCTTGGCGGCATTATTATTTTTGGTGGTGTATTTCACCTTCTCTGACCTCCGTACACGTAAGTAGCCTTTGTCGTGCACGAATCTATTAGAGATAGGTCTGTTTATTGGTGCACAACTTACTGTGACGCATGACTTGATGATTTGTGTTTTCCCTGGTGACTGGGGTCGCGCGTGAGAGAACCTGCTCTGTCTTCTATACAGTAGCAGTAGTTTGCTTGATTGATGATTAAAGAAATGCAAATAAAATATTAACTCAAAATTCTGTTTATGCAAAGGTTAATTCTTCATAACATCAAAATAATGTTAAAGCAGCAAGCAGTGCAGCGGACAAATAAAAGTTTATTTTTTATCAGTAAAATTAAACGTTGAATATAAATCGAAAATTAAAGATATTACAAATATTTCGTTTATTAAACTACAAAACCAAGATAACAATATAAATATATTTTAGGGTGAAGAGTTTTACAAGTTATACATCAAATGCTATCTGATACCTGCGATTTTACTGAGACTTTTTCATGCATTGGTTACATTTGCTGACTAATCCTCTAATTTTCCCTAAGGACCTAAATGAAACCACATATTGTAGAGATTATATGGCAATTGTTTGCATTTCGGTGAGAGGTGTGTACAAATGTTTACATATCGTTGGCTTTGGGTACATGGCTACGATTGATCTTCAGGTTAAAGTAACACCTGTAAATGCAAACCTTTATTCACGATACAATAAGTTATTTGTATTTTGCTACTTCCTCACAATTGCTTGGTATGTAATAAATATGTAATTAGGTTTTAGCTATTTTAAGTTATATATTTAATATTGTATACATGAAAATGTGATAAAACAAGGGGTTGGAAAAATATTTCATAGAATGGTAAACTTTAATTTAATGAAATGAAATTGTAATATTAGTGAGGTGAGTTTTGACAGTATTGAAGTTTTGAGAAGTGGCTGTTACTTGATGTCGACAGAGGAGGCTTTTTCCAAAGGTTTTTTTTTAGTTTGACTTCAGTTTTTTATTTTTTTTACTGGTTTTGAAAAGTAAGAACATATGTTTGCATTACTTGCCTCAAATTTTTTCCTTGTTTCGCACTTCTTCAGGTCAGCATTAGTTTTCATCAACACCAGTTGATAAAATTCAGAAAAACAAGCATATTTCAGGCATTTTGTGTTATGGCATTGTTCACCTATTCAATTTTATTTTATTTACTAATGCGTGTTTTTGATTATTTATACATTTAGCTGCTTGTTGATACTGACAGGAAACAAGGGAAATAAGTGAATGAATTAATAAATAAAAGAGACACAGGAGCACAGAATAATATGCACAACTTGTTGGTAATAAAACAAAACTAACATAATTTATTTTATTTTATATTAATGTACACGCAACACACTACATAGGAAAATTTGTAAAAAGAAAGAGAACATAATAAAGTTTGAGTCTTTTGGGGGGTGGGGGGTGGTTGCTTAAAAAGATTAACATCAACAAGAAAGCACTGGTCATGATCACAATATTTGTTTATTAAAGTGTTTTGGGCTTATGAATAAAGAACTATAGATACGCAACAGTACCATGTCTAATAACATAATAATATGCATACAACTGTATTTATTAACTGAATAATAAAAAAAATAATAATAAAACATCTAAAATGAGTTTCATACATTTTTAGAAGTATGTGTTTTGTAAATATGATAAAATATGATTGTGTGTATCTGTGTTGATGTGCTGGAAAGGCTCATCATGTGGATTTACTGTCAGTTGAATACAAGTCACAATAATTTGGTCAGTGTAGGCCACCCACAGTCACACACAGCTGACGGATGGCTACATGTGTCCATTCCAGTGGAGAATACCAATCCATAATGTTTCAGTCGCTTATATTCAAAATATCTCCCAAACTTGATCTAACTAAAACTTAATCTTTAATCAAACATGATTTCAACTTAAATCAATTAAAACTAGAATTACACAAATAAATTCTTTATAGTATATTATAATATATATTTATATTTAAATGTGTTATCTGAGAATGTTAAATATAGATAAATATATAAATAAAGATCGTTTTTCAGTAAATTGTATGGGCATATGCCAAACATTCAGCTTTTTAAAGCCGTAATCTTTTAGAGCCTGTATAATCTCTATAATAAATTGAAACTGGTACACACATGATTGACAGCACAATGTTGTATTGTTTAGTTGTTTATATTTCCTGTGTAATAAATGTAACCATGGCATTTATAGTTGCTGTTAATTTTATCTGAATGCATCAATAAGACATTTCTTCACCTTAAAATTATAAGGTTCTATCTGACATTATTGTCAAAATTGAGTTATTGACATATTCTTATTAAATGACAACTTACTTACATTATGGGATGTTTTTTAAATTGGAAGTTGTTTAAATTTTTAGACTTTTTATTTAAAAAAAAACAAATGTTACACACATACTGTTTGCTATGGAATGCAAAAATTTTGAAGCTCAATAAGCACACACTATTTTTCCCTCTGTTAAATAATTTGC